AGCAAAGGTGAGGGTGAAAACCGTTACCTTTGTTGCTTAAAAGAGAAGGGCGAGCCCATCCGAAGCCAGTGCAGAGCCCTGAGAAAGGCTAACCTAGGGTCTAAATATGTCTAAACATAGTTCAAGTCAATCGAAAGAGACAAGTAATGAGATTGGTCCCTGCTCAGCCTCACTGTATATCGAATATCCTAAGCGAAAACTAAGTAAAAATGTAAATGTAAGCAGCCCAACAGGGCAAACTAAAAGTTAAATAAAGGAGATGTCGAGACCGCAAAATGTGAGTGCCTGATTGAGTGTTGGTCCGGTTCGGGTTCGAACCCGCGACCTCGCTCCTGCACGGAAGACCGGCGCTCTCCCAACTGAGCTAGCCATACGGCGGTTAATCTTGTTTCCTTGTAGGAATTTTGAGTAAACTTTCTAAATAGTTTTAAAATACAGTTGATATGGTGCTGGTGGGTAACAAGACTGTGTTAATTGTCCTTGGTGTGTGTAATTTTTACAACTTCTTTGCATTTCGTTGACTATTCCAAACATATTATGGCCACATTTCACGACCATGATTCGCTGCGATTTGTACATAAGACACTTTTATGTCTTTAATACTATTATCGATGTTTTCCGCTTAAAAAGAAGTCCGTACAAAGTTTTTTTTAGTGTAATCCGTGCTAAACACTCTGCAAGTTCACTGAAATTCTTCATTTGCAGTTTTTGTTCACCCTCCAACGCCTCGCTTTCATGAGTAGGCACCAGTTTTTTCCCGCGTGTCCGCCATTTGTGAATACGGTGTATGAGTTGAAATAGTTCTGGCGATAGCTGAAGTTCCATCAAGGGCAAAAAACCATACCAGTTTGTGTACTGTGAAGATGGAGATTGTTTGTTTATTGTTTTTGCAATGAAACGTTAGAATTGGTACGATTTTTTTTGTTAATTTGAGGCTAGTCGAGAGGAATGATTTACTTAATTTCGAACGAAAACTAATGAATTTTCTCTCAAGAATAATATGATTAACTTGAATACTATCATCATTATCTGAGCAAAACTGGCCAAATAAAATGTCTTTAACATCGAAGTTAGTAAACATTTTAGTGGAAACTCTTTTTTTTGTCTAAAGAAGAGTACTTAGCTTATTCAAGAAAGTGTTGACCTTTTAGCAATGAAATAGGAAATGTTCTAATGTGCTTTAGTATTTTAAGGTCTTTAAACGCAGGGTCAATAATGGATCCATAAGTAACTACTGATCAGTTCATGCCTTGAGCTGTTACTTTTTTCGCTAACATACATGTGAAGTTATATCTTTCCCAAATGGGGAAAACAATTTATGTTTCTGACCTTACAGCGCACGCCAAGGATGAAACAAAAAGGCCTTCTCGAAGTTTTTGTTTCACAAGAAAAAGACAAGCGCGCATACCGTTTCACAATAGGCCATACCTCATACCCAGACGACGATCGAATGGTATCCCATGATACACCTCGTTTTATGTTATATTATCACTGCGTACGTGACATATCATGATCAGTATTCTTCAGTACGCGCGAAATGAACATCGCAGTGCTCGATGCGTATGGTTTCCGAACGTGTTTCGGTTCAGCAGCTTCTGCTTTTGAGAATATCGGGTTAGGTTATATTCATTGTGCCTTAAAGGAGAATTTCAGAGTTACTTTGAAGGGTTTTACATGTGTTTCACTGATCTGTCGAGAACTACTTGTGCGCTTGGTCGCAACTACACTGAAACGCAAAGTATGAGACTCGACAACTGATAAGGTTCACTAGAAACTCACTAGAAGAACCGAAACCATGACTGATCTAAAAAGTGGCTGCAACAAAACAGCCGCTACGCTGTGAAGCTAATTACCAAAGGAGGATTTATTACAGCATAGCGCTCAAAGAAGCTCAGTTGACAACGGCAGTTACAAATGAAATTTAACCTATCGATGCGACAAACAATCCTCTGAAGCACAATCTACCCGGTATTGACTCAAGCAATCTTCGAGCAAATTTTACTGGCCAGAGTACTGAACTATGCTAATCTTTTGAATAAATAAAGTTTCTGATATTTCTTTTTCAAATTCTGAGAAGGCTTGTTTAACGTTGTGCCGCTTGCATGCTGCGTGGAACCTTCGTTTGGGTTCCTATCACACTGAAACATACGGCGTTATTCACCGCTCCTTGTTCTAATTGAAATAATTATAGTCAAATTCCTTTTAAAAATAACCACTTTGAAAATACAAAGTGATTGCTTCGGCATAAAGCGCTCTCAAAAGGGCCCAACAGATTGTAGCCTTCAGCAGGCTTTACACATATATTATCACACATGGCGTTGAAAAGTGATAAAAGATACGAAATTTTAGCCATCTTTGGTCAATAAAAAAGTCTTCAAAACGTGGGTACTTCTGGGTAATTCTTGGCCTGTATAATATTCAGGACTTCACTTTGCTGGCGTGAGGTCCACATTTGGAAGACTTCCAACAAATAATCCAAAAATCGTGAATATTCATGAGCATGTTGTGGGTCACTGAACACTTTGTGATGCGAAGACTAATTGAAACAATGAAAATAAATGTTTCTATACGGAAACTTCGCTCTTAAGACATTGCAAATTGGAAAAATCTTGTCAAATAACAAAATAATTCGATTTTCTTACTTTTACTGGAGCAAATATGAGAAAAAAGCCGACGAGAAAACGACCTTATTTCACCATGAAATCAGCCATGACAGCGATATTGCGTGATGCTCCTGGAAAAATGCATCATGGGATACTATTCGATCGTCGTCTTCCTCATACCTATATTTAAGTATTGTTGGTTTTGACATGACGTCATTAAAATTCAGATTAAAAAACTATCGATCCTACCGAGATTTTACTTTCACGATGCATTAGAGCAGCTGAAAAATAGTTTTCATACAAATTATCTCTTCAAAAGGGGTTTTGGTTTTGTGATAGAGTACGCTTGAATTTCTAAGCTTTTGCGTGACGCGGCATTTACATGATGGCCAAGTGAGATGTCATGTAGGTCAAAAAAGTGACTTATTTCAGGAAATTTTGCTATCTAAACTGTTCATGTATTAGAAAGAGTATTACTTTAATGTTTATGAGTTTCTCGAAGAATTAATTCACGCTTTTGTAGCAAACTCGTTAACAGATATTTCTGTTAGTTTCCGTCCGCCATGTTGGAGCTCATCCAGGTGAGCACCAGCATGGCGTCTCTATACAAATCTCTATAAGTTTGGGTAAAACATTTCTTCGGATATCTCGTATACGGAATATTCCTCTGACCTGAATCTTGGCGAGGGTTTTTGTATATGTACCTCCTTTCATTTCCTAGATTCTGGACTTTATCTATTGAAAGGTTTTGATTTTGATTTTGATCTATTTTGAATGGCGTGACACTGAAAACCTGCAATAGGGAAGAAAATGCAACCAGTCCATCTGCGTGGCTTTTTACGGTTGTTTGGTTTTGATATGCACATGCTGAAGTATTTTAGGTAAACACATTTAGCATACATTCTTCTGGTTGATGCCAATCGATCGATGCCCGTTAAGAAAATCCATCGCCATTAGCAAAATAACAACCTTAAATGTTAATATGCAACAAAGTTAGGACTTACCGGCATTTCTTGAAACTTCCATACCATCGGGGAGCAGCTTTTGCAAAACACAGACGTTTAAACTTGAAAATTGTGACCAGGGGTAAAATTGTGCTAAAATCAGGGGTATTTTGCCAATAGTGGCTAGGCGTTCTCTCGCCCGCTCTCTCCCAGGCTTCGTGCGGACAACGGATCACGGCCCACATATCTTGCTAAATCCAAAAGGGTATCTAACTTGAAAGGCATGTCCCTCATCCATAGATTTAAAAAACCAGCGTCATGGCATAGTCCCGGCTTGGTGGGCTCCACAGTCAGAGGAAGGACCAGATGGGGTGGATCAACTTCTCCCACCTTTCCCTTCAGAGAAATTGCCCCCGAGGTTAAGCGATCAAGCAATGTGCTTCTCACAAAATCCGCGAACGGCTTAAACGACATATTATTCCTGAAAAGCTCAGGAGGTGGATAATCCGAACAGTACTGTTTCCCCCTGAAACTACCGGAGAAGGGTTGAAAGTGCTAAAAAATGGAGAATTTATCCTTTATCCATTTCATAACCTGAACTTGTTGAGCGGATGCAGAACCACCAATTATATCCTGCCATTGATGGTAGTAATTGTGAACTTCTCCAGCGCGAAAAGTAGCAGGGTCTCTAAACCGCAATGTCTTCCCTCGAAAGCTCTAAGACTTCCACCCCAGTGCCGACCCCAACTGAGTTCCCCAACCGATCAACCGAATTGATTGACTTTGGAGAATACTGAGTATGAGCGTGAAGTTTTCCTTCAAATTCCGAGTCGCATTCCCAATCCCAAGTCAAACGACAAGAATTCTGAGAAAGGAAGGAAAAATATTCTGATAACAAACACGAATGAATGAAACAGAACGTTAGGGGGGAACCCACCGGGCCAGCAAGGGGTGACAGTCATGACCCAGCATAACCGGGGGAGTTTGTTTAGATACTCTTTTTCATAACTGTCACTCCAAGCAAACCCTGGAAAACTTATTATCTATACAAGGGAAAGAATCCAGGAACATTGGTAGGCTGCTGAATACAGAGAAAATCATTTATTTCCAACATTCTTATCACTATTACCAACAATCCGTCAAAGGTAGGACAATGAAATTGCAGTGAAATTATAAACTGCTCAAACTTTACACAGTTATCTGGCTACTTATTCTGATTTTCGTTAACATTTGGTTGAGGAGCCCCACTGGAAAAACCAGAAGGCCCCCCAAATCTCTTTTTCGTTTTAAACAATTTATCTCAATATGCCCAGGGCGATTACAATAGTAGCAACGAACCACAATATAAGGGGCCGCCATGGCTTTTCTACCAGGTCCGGAATTCTGCCTCACTGACTTTCGACGATTATTCTTCTCAACCTTCGCCACCACTTCTAACACCTTCTCCATGTTCTTATCGCCAAGCTTTCCCACCTAGAGTGTCAAACGCGAAGCGAAAATAACCCACCTTCTCGTGCTTTGTATCTTGAGCCGCATTCTTTAAAGCTTCTAAGAGGTCTAGGGCCTCAAACCTATTGAATTCCGGAACAAGGCGGGAAGCCCGGTGACGAATCTTCTCCAGAGGGTTATCCACCAAGCACCTGGAGAGGGCGTCCATGGACTTCTTTAACTCCTCACACTTAAGCTGCAACACCTATGGAGAGCCATAAGCGGAGACAAATTCTAATCAGACCTCATTATAAAGACCACAAAAACGTTTTCCTTTCAGTTTCACAGGCGTTGAACTTACCCGCCTCACTTAGACTGCAAAACAGTCCGAGCAGTCAAACAGAAGGTCTGGAAGGAGGCTGAAAACAGAGAGCGCGACTGGGGAAAGACGCTAAAAATACTCACACGCCCTACGGGCCTGTGAGGCTCGCCCGCTTCGCGCACATAAGACTCTTACGCGGCACTTTACCGATCTTTACTGATTTTAGAAAAAAAAGACTGTTTTGCAATCTACGCCTCACTGGTCAAATAAACCTTTCTAGAGTCATGACCGTCAACAAGGCAACTTGCTGAAAGAATGACGGCGTAACAAGTAAATCACAATTTCCATACTGGCCATAACAATTATATGCAAACAATTCCGCTATAACAATAACAGGCAAACTGGCCATACAATATTTCAGAGTCATGATCATCAAACAGACAACTTGCTGCGAGAATCACGCCATGACAATAACAAGCCAATCATAATTGCCTCACTGGCCACGTCAACTCTATCCAAACATTTCCGTCATGATAATAACAGGCAACTCGCTGAAAGAATCACGCCATGACAATAGCAGGCAAATCACAATTTCCTCATTGGCCATAACAATTTTATCGAAACAATTCCGTCATGTCAATAACAACCAAATTACATTCTTCACTGGCCATACAAACATTTCACAGTCATGATCATCAGACAGACACCTTGCCGAGAGAACCACGCCATGACAATAGCAGGCAAATCACAATTGCCTCACTGGCCACAACAATCCTAACCAAACAGCACTACCGTGTTCAAATAAAATTAATTTACTCTATTTAGAATAACAGACAAGTTACAAACATTACAACATAATTCTAATGTATAACCCAAAAACTACGAGGGAAGTAACAATAGGGCGCCCCCAAGGACATACTGGAGAAAACCTGAAAACAAACCCTGGATGCCCCCTAAAATAAGCGTCGGTACATAATTACATAACCCAACCACGCTAAAGACAACAAAAACCCGTCGCGAACTCAAAAAGTATCGCAAACCAAACTGGAGCAAGAAAATGCCAGAAGAGGAACATGAAAAGAAATTAACCCCAAAACATTATACAAATATGCGAATAAAAACGAGTAGACAGGACTCAAACGTTTACCTCAAATTTCTCTTCAGCCGTCAATTGACGAGCTTTTTGTCCCGCTTGTGGTCCGGGCGCATCATTTCCCCGGTTGAGGCATTCTTTGTCCAAAGTGTTCTTTGCTAAAAATTCGTGGGGAAAAATTGGAAGTTCCACCTTCCTCCTTGGCGCCGATCAGAGGCTGAGCGGAGAGGGGGTGTTTAACGGCATTTATTATTGCCCCTTGGGATTAAGGGTCCCGTGCACCTGCATACATGAGGCTTCGCGCTTCGACTTTGATTAGGTGAATAGCAGAAATATTAACTATTATCACACAAATTGATATACTTTGTCAGAACTTCTGTTTGCAGGGAATACATGTATTTCAGAAGGGAGTTTATGAACCATACGATCTTCATGCACTAAATCAAATGTTAAAGTAATCTTAGATTTCACAAGGAAAATGGTACCAGCTGACATCGACCTCTGCCTACTATTAATAGACGAATGATCATCATCGAGGTGTACCACATCTCTTACAGGTGATGACAATATCGACACTACCGTTTAAATATCGTTGCATTCCACTTGCATTTCCCCATGAAATGCACTGAAAGCAGTATCATAATATTACCATTACATCACTGCTAAAACTTCCTGGATGGATAGGTAACCTGATTTTCTTACCCATGGTGCACCACTGCACGTGCTTCGCGCACGCGAGAGCTCCGTTTCAAACATAGGCACCGATACTTGTGTTCTTTTCTAAACTCGTGTAGTTATCTTTGAACTATGGTGTGTTCTTTGAACTACACTAAGAACTTTGCGACTTCCAGAAAGTAGTGACCTTTCGAAATGAAAAAGGAAATTCCCTAATGTACGTGCTTTAGTATTTTCAGGTCTTTCAGCGCGGTTTCTATAATGCATCCATAAGAGATTGCTATCAGTTCAGATTTTGGACTAAATGAGAAAGTAATTTATGCCTTACTGACCTTTAAGCATAGGCCCGACATGAAACAAAAACTGAGGTCCTCTCACAGTTTTTGTCGCACAACAAAAAATAGACTCGCAGAGCCGTTTTACAGAACTCCAAACTTTTAAACTATAATTATGGAGGGGATAAAATGCAGCCAGTCAATCTGCGTAAGAGTCAACTTTCCTATGTTTGCTGAATTCCTCCCTCCCTCCACTAACCCTTACAAAACACAGCTGACTTTGTTTTTCTCGTTCCGTACCGCTCTACTTAATCTGTAATTAAGTCTTGGAAATCTTTCTTTGATCTTGCATGGCCCACTTTATAAAATTCACAATCCCGTGTATTATTACTTGTGTTGTAGTTTTAAAGTGCCTCTGCATTTCTCCTAAAAGGGTCCCTTCATCGTGCTTAAATAGCGCCTAAAAGGCAAAGACGCAATGGTGGAAATAACAGTTAACGTACGATAATCTGGCCTTAATGTACGGTTCCAAATATACATCGCGAAGGAGGAATTTGTGCAGTTAAAAATTAATTTTCAACGCTAAAAACTCAGAAGAAACTTTGTTCATGGTCATCAAGAGAGGATTACCTCGTTCTATACTAGCTGCCACTAAAACTGCCCACCCGACTCCCTAACTCTTTATTGAGGGATTGGGTAATGATTGCAAAAGACAAATTCATTTGACAACTCAATTTAGTTGGATCGTCCTCTTTTCAAACCCTTTTTTTATTATTGTTTTCATGAAACGGGATTTTGTTTAATCTGTCCTTTAAAAGCACTTTCTAGTTTTAATCAATCAATAGAATAGTACAAACCATGGACTTCTGCTAATTAGAAAAATACATCTAGTTGGTCGTAATGTAAATCTAAAATTGAACGTTAGCTTGCCGGTGGGTGAAAACTAATTTGAGTAGGTGCGTGCCGATTAGTGTCTAAAGTATAATTCCAATTTCTCAACGAAAAAAAAAAGAAGACCAGCTTTCATTACACGCATGTAAAGTTACCAGTAGATACAGAGGTTAGTACTATAGTAATAAGCAACTACGATAAGAACTGAAATAGACAATGATGAGGGTTCTTTTTGGACTGATTGGTTTTGTCATGAGATAGGCAGTTAAAATAATTAACCTTATTCTTGCAGATATCTGTCCGGCAACAAAATTGAACAGCTTCCACCTGGGATATTTTCCAATCTATCCAGGCTACAATCGTTGTAAGTTTGTGATTTTTGTATTGTCTGTTGTTTCTTATCAAGACTAGAACACTAGTATGCGCAAGCAGCCACGTACGTAAGTTTACGTAGGGGTAACTTTCAATTCGCGGCTAGCATACAAAGTACATAACCACGAACAGATGTGGGTAGTACACCTTACAAAGTATTTTCTTCTAATATTTACCAATTACGAATAACAAGAGTAAAAATAATATTTTGCCAAGCCTCAAATTGAGCGAAATAGCACAGTTGAACTTTTAGTTGCTTTTAGTTCCTTCCACTTGGTCACATGTAAAAGACCCTTTGTTGCTGTTGACATACTATAATATCCTGTTAGTGGTAAAGATTTTGCCTATTCTGGCTTGAAAACTAGTATAAACGTCTTTCAAACTCCACACGATAAGAGAGATAGAGAATAATCGAAAAAGATTATAGATTACTTTTAACAAATATTTTGATGGCATTTCAACCTAAGGGATGATGACCTAATTGGTCTATTCAAACGTACATGTCGCTCGTGCGCTTCCTGCTCCTGGCTACAACAAAACCAGTGAAAATATTAGTAACCACAATGTTAATTTACAATACAAATTACTTAGAAAATGGGATACATCTGAGAATTTCGCGAAATTTGAATACTGCTCTTGAATTTATTATGAAATTAAGAAATCTGAACAATCCAAAGCCATTTCTAACCAATTCAAATACCTTTTATTTTCTCCCCTTGGAGATCGTCGAGCATGCGTGTGAAAACAGAAATGCCGATTATTTACTGATCTCTAAGCGCAAGGTAGTTGGGTTGGAACCGGCTAAGTGCACGCTCGCCAAATATCTCGAGCAAAGAAGGACGTGTGTGGAAAGCCTACACCATTTCTCTTTTCCTGAAGGAATTTTTTTTTCATTCACTCAAACAGTCTATAACAGCTGTAAGTTTTTTGTTTAGTCGGCTTTAATCAATGTCTTTCCATTCATCTTGCGTTCCAGTTTGTCATCGTTGTCTTGGTTTTCTATTCGTCATTTAACACTGGCTGTACATGTGTTGGAGGAGCAATGTCTAAATATGATATAAAAATGAAATTGGCATGAATAAAAATTATTATTATCATAATAACCTATAATAAAAGGGAACTATGNTTCGCGGCTAGCATACAAAGTACATAACCACGAACAGATGTGGGTAGTACACCTTACAAAGTATTTTCTTCTAATATTTACCAATTACGAATAACAAGAGTAAAAATAATATTTTGCCAAGCCTCAAATTGAGCGAAATAGCACAGTTGAACTTTTAGTTGCTTTTAGTTCCTTCCACTTGGTCACATGTAAAAGACCCTTTGTTGCTGTTGACATACTATAATATCCTGTTAGTGGTAAAGATTTTGCCTATTCTGGCTTGAAAACTAGTATAAACGTCTTTCAAACTCCACACGATAAGAGAGATAGAGAATAATCGAAAAAGATTATAGATTACTTTTAACAAATATTTTGATGGCATTTCAACCTAAGGGATGATAACCTAATTGGTCTATTCAAACGTACATGTCGCTCGTGCGCTTCCTGCTCCTGGCTACAACAAAACCAGTGAAAATATTAGTAACCACAATGTTAATTTACAATACAAATTACTTAGAAAATGGGATACATCTGAGAATTTCGCGAAATTTGAATACTGCTCTTGAATTTATTATGAAATTAAGAAATCTGAACAATCCAAAGCCATTTCTAACCAATTCAAATACCTTTTATTTTCTCCCCTTGGAGATCGTCGAGCATGCGTGTGAAAACAGAAATGCCGATTATTTACTGATCTCTAAGCGCAAGGTAGTTGGGTTGGAACCGGCTAAGTGCACGCTCGCCAAATATCTCGAGCAAAGAAGGACGTGTGTGGAAAGCCTACACCATTTCTCTTTTCCTGAAGGAATTTTTTTTTCATTCACTCAAACAGTCTATAACAGCTGTAAGTTTTTTGTTTAGTCGGCTTTAATCAATGTCTTTCCATTCATCTTGCGTTCCAGTTTGTCATCGTTGTCTTGGTTTTCTATTCGTCATTTAACACTGGCTGTACATCACAACCTCCTCGTTACAGATTTATACTATATTTTTACTTTAACCGTACTTATTTTTAATAATAATAG